GTGTATGACAAAGCGGGTCATCTCTGTCCCTTTGATGGAGGTTTGATTGAACGCAATGTCCTCCTCTACTTTTCTGGCTATGTGAAGCCAATCTATGAAGAAGACCCAACAATTGAAGGTGGAGTTCCTGCAAAAGAAATGGGGCCTATCAATGAGTGGTGGATATCTGGTTTTGATGGAGGTAATACTTATATTTTTTAGTTTTGTTAATTACTAAAATCATCTACATTTTATAGTAGTGTAAATACAGTATAGGTAATATAGTTAGCAAATTTTAAGTTAGATTGAGGTATACAGATGTTAATACAAACTTTGTCAAGATACAGTGAAAATAAAAGTAGTGGTTATACTGGAGAATCTTAGGCAGTGTCTGACTTAAGATCTTCAATCTTCGCAAATCGGAAAACAAAATCTTAATTTTTGTTAAAGTTGAAATAGACTTACAGGCTATTATGTAAGTACTTTTTTATAACCCTTTTAGTTGGTTCCTAACCAGATTTCTCTCAATTTTCTGTTTTTGATGTGGTCTTCAATTGATTTGTTTTAATGAACAAATTTTCCAAACTAATGCAATTACTACAGGGGAAAAGGCGTTGATTGGATTTTCTACTGCATATGCGGAATACATCCTCATGGAACCAAAGCGATGCTATGCCCCTTTTGTTGATGCTGTGCGAGAGAAAATTTACATAAGTAAACTATGATTGAGTTTTTGGGGGAACAATGATGATGCTGCATATGAAGATTTGTTGAACAAGTTACAGACAACTGTACCTCCAAGTGGTATAGCAGTAAAACTGAAGATACTCTCTTGAGACATGCACAATTTGTTTGTGATCAGGTAAGATGAATAATGCACTTAAAAAAGGGTTTAAAACCCAACACACCGATTTAAACCTTTGGCTAAACTGTTTTTTCTCCATAATACTGTAGTAATATTTTGTAAATTATTTTTGTTTAGTATTTGAAGCATTTGATTATGAGTAGGTTTTGGTGTTTAAATTTATCATATTTTTTTTATTTCTGTTAATGGATAATACTGGGAAGTTGTACCAATGATTATTTAATGTGTGGAGTAGGGATATGACAATACCAAGATTTTCCGCCGATACTGATACCTTTGCTCTTTTTTGGGCCACCCTGCCTTGTTGGGAGACAGCCAGCATGTTAAAAAAACCTGCTCTCAAGTTTTAAGTAGTGGGGGGCACAGTTCCACTAGTCCGCTAACCACTAATTACTAGACTTAGCTTATTTTTTACCTGATTAGCGTTTCCGCTAACTTCGGAAACCGTTTAGTGGACCAATTAGCTTCCTCTAAATAAAGTTCCGCTAACTTTGAGTCCACTAAAAAGAAATTCATATGCTGTTGGTAGTTGGGGAAAGAATGCCTTTTAATGGCACATGTGTTTGTTCCTGTTGTTGTGGGCATTTCTCCAACAGTCGGTGTATGTTTGATTTAAACTGATGTTTGGTGTCAGTTAGTTCATTTAACTGTTTGTGTGCATCTGTACGACTGTATCACTGGTGCAGTGATAAGTTGGCACGATTTTCAACTACTTGTTTGTAGTTTATTGGGTTTGAAATCTAAATTAAGTTAAATGCAAACACGAACAGAACGGATAAAATGAATGAATCAATATACCTGAACTAATGGAGAAAACGTCAGATAAGCTAATCAATCTGTTTGGGTGTATGGGCTTCGTGCGTGACAAGTGTGCCT